TGTTGATTCCTCTATTTATTGGCAGGTTTTTAAGATGGGAGTTCTGCTCCTTTTTAAGATGGGAGTTCTGCTCTGTTTTTAAGATGGGAGTTCTGCTCCGTTTTTAAGATGGTAGTTCTGCTCCGTTTTTAAGTTGGGAGTTCTTCTCCAATGGTACCACGTGCATGTCTATTGTAATTGAGTCGCATTTGATGTTGCATCTTGAGTTGTGGTGAAGATAGATTTGTTTTTGCTTTATGTTTTTGACTTGTTGTGACAAGTATCATCTAAAAGTTGTGAATTAGTCGTTATGTCGTGTTGATGTTTTGTTGAGATTAAAGTTGTTTGAAAGTTGTGAAGTGGTGATTTTATATGAACTGATTCTGATATATTAATTATCATACATTCTAGTATATTGTTAGATATCTCACCCCTTCTGTTTGAATGTTGTCCTCTATTGGTAACGTGCATGTAATCAAGAAAAATAGTTGTTACTTTCGTCAGTTCGAGTCGGTGTTGTTGCTCTGATATGTAGCACTCGGGGGGATGAATGTTTGATGTTTAGTTGTTGATCATTATTTCAGTTGCTGAATTTTTAAGTTGATTACATGAAATAATTGTTGTCTTGAAGTTGTTTTAGTTGAATAAAAGATGTTAAGTGAATTGAAGCTGAGTATGTGATTTCGCTGCTTATTAATAAAAGTTGTTTGATTTTTAAGAATAAATCAGGTTGTTATCGGTTCATCCGAATTAAGTGTTATGTATTTGTTTTATATGCGATTAAATGAAGTTTGATTTTAAGTTGAAAATGTAGTGTCCTATTTATGTTGAACTCTGATTTTATTATTATCCGCCGGATAGAAATGGGGTGTTACAGGTAACATATATATATTCATTATGCATCATTATTTGAATTCAACAAGAACTAGTGAAAGATACACATAGTGCTCATCATCTTCATCCTCTCTTCTCAAAAATCAACATCTACACATAATCATGGTTGTTGATTCAAGAAAAGTGTTGTGGTGATAACATTTAAATCAAGGTTTCAATTCAGATTTGGGTTGAGCAATTGTGGGTTGTTCTTGAATAAAACCATTGGGATTTTCTCCTCCAAGATTCCTATTGGTGCGGGGGGTTTTACACAAGTCTTTGCTTCATTGAACTCAGTCGGGTGGAAGGATTAAGAAACTGTGGGTTTGCTTAATCAAGTAGCGGTAACCGGAGGATTGTGAAGATAGATTTGGGGTCAAATTACTTGCGATCGAAACCAGCCGACTGAAAGAATTAAGAAACGGTGGGTTTGCTTAATGAAGTAGCGGTAATCGGAGGTTTGTTCGAAGAATTTGGCACTTGGTTTTGCTCAAACCAAGGAAAGGGAAGAAGACCGTTACATCAACAATATTGGTTTGTTTGTTGTGAACTATCTCTTATCTTATATCATTTTCAACTTAATATCAAATATCTCAATTCTAGATTTTAGAATTGGGGGCAGACGTACCCTACGCGAGGACGACAAGGGGAACTGCCTTAACAAATCGTGCGTTCTTCTGCTTTTTCTTCATCTCTATACTTGATTACTAAACTGTGTGTAGGGATGGCAACGGGGCGGGTCGGGGGCGGGTTTAGCTAACCTCGCACCCGCACCCGCAACTCCAGTAATAGACCCGCCCCCGCCCCCAAACCCGCCGGGGGATGGAAATTCACCCCAGACCCGCCCCCAATGGAGAACGGGTCACCCTCCCCCACCCGCGAAAACTGTTTTTTTTAAATAAAAAAATATCTATTTTTTTCACAAATTTCCTGGACAGCATTAACAAATACATTAAAAATACAAAATTCGCCATTGATTTGAGTAAATAATTGTAGGATTTAATATTCAAACACCATTCCAAATATTTTTCTATCATAACCCTTCAATCAACTATAATTGGTTGTGAACTTGTGATTCATTAAAAGAGTGTAATCTTTCAATATATCAAAGTATAAATCACTCCCAACAACCAACAATTTTTTTGCAAAGTACAAATACAAAATTAAAACAATACAATCAATAAAAGAACCATTCCAACAACATGGAACAAAATAACCATTCCAACAACATGGAACAAAATATACGATATCATCATAACAAAAAAAGATCCAAATAAACAACAAATTTTCTAATAATCTTCATCTTCGAGGCGGGAGTTGGAAATAGAAGTAGCACCATCAATCAACAACTCACCTGTGTTAAAAAATAAAAGTTAAAATATAAAAATTTAACTTGACAAATTTAATACAAATAGTATGAATAATACCTTCATCATCAGACTCCATTTCAGTTAATAAAATAACATTTTCATTTCCCACGTTAGATTTCAAATTACCTATCAATATAGTAAAATATAGTCAATGATAGTCTTGGCAAGTAAAAATAAAAAATATAAACAAGAAAGATCTTTACCATTATTCTCAGCACTCCATAACCAACTTCTTGCACACATCAAAGCTTCTAAAGTGGTCCAATGAAGTCGACTTCGATGAGGGCTTACGATATGACCACTTGTACTAAATGCGGATTCAGAAGCCACGGTAGAAACAGGAATTGCCAATACATCCCTTGCAATTGCTTGAAGTGTTGGATACTTAATCCCATTCAACTTCCACCATAATAAAATATCAAAATCTGGACTTCTTGGTAAAACTTCCTCTTCCAAATAAACATCCAACTCTGTTTTAACAGATGAAGTTCTAGCTCTTTTTTTTCTTATGACATACAAATCATAGTCTTTCAAACCATCATTACTAACATTTCCAACATTAGCATCCAACATTTCAGATTCACTTCTAGAATCCTTGTTCATTTTTAATTGACAATCATAAACTAACTCGTAACACAACTGTCTGATTGACTTAACTTGGGAATCAACATCATTCCCATAGAATACTCCATAATAATATTCAAGCAAATCGGTTTTATACCTAGGATCCAAAACAGCAGCAACCCCCATTATTTCATGAATCACACTCCAATATTTTTCAAACTTTACCAACATATTTTCTGCCATTCTTTTTACCAATTCGTCAGAGGATTCAATCCACTCAAGTAATGAAACTTTAATCTGACAAATCTTAGGGAAGTATTCATTGGCAGTTGGATACTTAGTTCCAGAAAACACTTTAGTGATAGAATTGAACAATTTCAATTTTACACAAATCTCTTTTGCAAATTTCCAATGTAAAGTTGTTGGCAAACAAGTGTATTGAGTTACACGGATTGCTAATCTATCAAATACCTCTTCATACAAAATAGCAACATCAAGCATCTTATAGGTAGAATTCCATCTAGTTGGACAATCTAAAACTAAATTCTTGGTGCAAGGTATTTTTAATTGTTTACATGTCTCCTCAAACCGTTCCTTCCTTTTAGGAGTTGCTGTCCAAAATGCAACGCTATCTCGAATCATCTCTATTCCATGTTTCACAACTTCTAACCCTTATTTTACTATCAAATTTAGTATATGTGCACAACAACGCATATGAAGTAAGGCCCCGTCCCTTAATAATGTCTCTGGTTTCAACTTAGCCTTAATTTTATCAATCATTGCATCATTTGTGCTACAATTGTTCAAAGTGATAGTAGACAATTTTGAATCAATGTTCCAATCCATCAAACATTCAACCAATGCACCACAAAGGTTTTCACTAGTATGAGGTGCAGGAACATAAATGAACCTAACATAATAAGATTCACAAAACTAGTATAAGAATAAGGATAAACTAGTATTAATAAATGAAATATATAATCCACTATTGGTTGGAGAGAAGTTGAGTATCTTCTAAAACCAATATGATCCACTATTGAAAGCGGATATTCATGCAAAATAATTGCATGTGCAAGCTCTTTCTTAGAATTTTCTGCATCATAAATTCCAGTACTCAACTCTTGTTTACCTTGCATGGATCTAGGCGTAAGAATTGTTTGTCCTTTATCAGATAGGTTCAAAATCTTCTTTTTAGGACAACATCCCAAATGTCCTTTTAAATGTGACGTCCCATCATTTGATGATCCATTAAGCTTCTTTAAGCAATAATTACATTGAGCCTTATCTTTTCCGTCAACTTTGACCTTTGTAAAATGATTCCATACAAAACTTTTCTGTCTGGATCGATGACTTGTGGTTGTTTGGCTATCAACCTCCATAATATCATTTGGCGTGGGAGGAGGAACATCAACTGATTGGTTACCACTTTCATTGGGAATTGGTTGATGTGTACTTTCTTGTGAGATAGGTGGACATCGTATTTGAGAGGTATCTTCATTTTCCATAACTAATTATCCTGTAAAATAATTAAGTTGTACATAAGAATAAGAATAAACTAGTATTCAAAATAAGAATAAGGATAAACTAGTATTAATAAATGAAATATATAATAAACTAGTATTAATAAAATGAATGAAAGTGAGTGCAGTTGGACGGTAAAACAAAATGGATTTTCTAATTTTATACTATTATAATAAGAGTACCAAATTGTTGAATGTAAAACAAAACAGCATCCAATTTAATACTAAAAAATTGTTGAATGTAAAACAAAACAGCACCAAATTGCGCAATATTTAATGAGTGTTTAAAGTAATATTGAAATAGACATTGCTTTTGTATGCAACTAATTCTAATGCCTGACTTTGACTTATTACTAACTAAATTAGACTTTATAGCTAGCAGCTAGGCCTCCCTTCTTTTGACTATGTCCACAATCCACATGCCATTCATCACACTACTAATTCTTCACTCTTGTCTGTGTGGTCTCTTGTTTTGCCACTCAATTTTCTTTTTCTCTATTCACTCTTTTCTTACACATTTACTTCATCTTTTCCTTTAACTCACCCAAAGTGTCATCAATATGAAAGCCATGCGTTGTTGGATCCATCTATTGAGCTTCTAAGAAAGATTGTTTTATTGAATTTAAAAGGTTGCAAAAGTCTTGTAAGCATACCCAACAACATATTTAGTCTCAACTCTCTTAAAGTTCTAAAAATGTCTGGGTGTTCTAGGTGTTATTTCAAAGAGTTTAGCAATACAGGGCATTTGGATATAACTGAAACTGCTTCACATTCCCAATCAACGTCCTCCATCTGCAAATGGACCTCAAAGCCTTACCACTCCTTGTTTTCCACTCCCACAACAGACACAATTATGTTTCCTTCCTTACTTAGCATATATTGTTTACATGAAGTTGATATTAGCAATTGTGGTTTAAGTCAACTATTCCCTGAGGCAATTGGATGCTTACACTGGTTAGAAATGTTAAATCTTGGAGGGAACAATTTTGTGACACTGCCTAGCCTTGGGGAGCTTTTCAAGCTTGTATATTTGAACTTGGAGAATTGCAAGAAATTGGAATATTTGCCCGAGCTTCCTTTCCCTACTACAATCGAGCAGGATCTTCGAAAGAACAAATATTGGAAGAGAACAGGATTGTTCATTTTCAACTGTCCTAAAATAAGTAGTAAGGAAAGATGCAGTAGAATGACATTTCCATGGATAACACAATTCATTAAAGTGAACAAATAAAACCCTGCCTTCTTTAATATTGGTATCATAATTCCAAGAAGTGGAATACCATGTCTTCTTTTGCCTCATTGCTGAAACAAAACTCCAATTCTGCCATTCCAAAAAGAGATTGCAAGCACTATCTCTTATGGATTGTGAGTTGTATGGTGAATTTCCAGTTGCAGTATTTCATCTTTCAAAATTGAAATATCTGAATTTGGGATATAATCCAAATCTCATTGACAGTTTGCCCGAATTTCAGTCTAGTTCACTCACCCAGTTATACCTTGAATACACAGGTTGTCCGAATTTCAGTTTAGTTCACTCACCCAGTAGTTATACCTTGAATACACAGGTTTTTATGATACACTTCATGTATCCATAGGAAAGCTTATCTCTTTAAGAACCCCATCAATTGAAACTTAGCTCTTTAAGAACCCTATTCAGAACCCTATCCACCAGGAAACCTAACACAACTCATACAGATAGACCTTCGACGTAACCTATATTATCCTTGGTAAATATTGACAGTGACACTGACATTCCATTATCTTTTGCCAATCTCACCAAACAAGAGATATTAGATGCTGGTAAATTAAAACCTAATAGGATGATAGAGTACATAGATGATAGATCTAACCTTTCAAATCCAGCGGCTGAGCAAAGGGGCTGGTGTGCGGCGAAGTCGATGGGATGATGTTGTGGTAGTGGTGATGGCAGCAACGTCGTCGGCCGTTGCGGACTTGCGGTGATTTTGCGTTGAGATTTGAGAGAAGAAGATGAGACTTGAGAAAATGCTTCTAAGAAGCTGAGAAAATAAAAGTAACATAAAAATAATTAAAACAAGGTTATTATAGTAATTGGATTATTCGGGGCGGGCGGGTGCGGGTGCGGGCGGGTCTCAGTGTCTTACCGCCCCCGCACCCATAGTTAGAAACCGGGTTTTACCCGCCCCCGCACCCGTACCTGTTTTAGCCGGGTTTTCCCCGTTAATTTCGGGGCGGGTCCGGGCGGGGCCCAGCGGGTCTGGGTTTTTTTGCCATGCCTAACTGTGTGAAAATTAATTTATCAAATCTGCACTTACTGAAATTGTAGTGTGTTGAATTCATTTTAAAACATTGGTAACAATCCTTTTGATTGATACCTAAGAAAACTTACCACTACAATTTTGTAAAACCAAATCTAAGGGGCTTTGCTCACAAGGTGTTTGACAAATTGACTAATCCACAAAATTATTGATTGTGCTTATCCTTATCTCATTCAACTCATTGGTAGTAATTAGTAACCATTGAGAGTGTATAAGTAATTGATTAATTGAGTAAAACGCATTGATTCTTATTTTTTCATTATATCCCATACGGTTTCGCATATCTGATCTTTTCAATAGAGGATCGTTTAGACGATTAGAGATTCTACGAAGCTTTCGCATATTTTTCTGAAAACAAATTTAAAAAGCGTAAATTATTTTAAACGATCTATTCAACCCCCTTCTAGATCGATCACATCGTCTAACAAGAGAGAGAGAGAAAGGTTTGTTTAGGAAGTTCACCAATCGTCCTCGATATGGGTACGTCTCCCCCCAATTTCATTTTGGAAATGAGATAAATCTCTTACTTTGCAAAAAGTCAATTACAAGAGAAGTGTTCCAAGAGCAACCCTACAAATCCTAACCTTTTTTTGTTGATTCAATCCCTTATCTTCTTTTGATCTTCAACAAGACCAAGATACAATAGCTACTAATTGATTTATCAGATCTTGATACTCCTTTGGATACCAAACTCCAAAGCTCTTTTGCGCACAATCAGTTGTAACTATTGAATACAAGCACTTTCAATTTGATTTTTCATTCTCTCGCTACTTTCTCAGGTACCAAACTCCGAAGGATTTTCACTTGGCCGCAATCCTCTTTTGAAAGTCTTGAACAAAATCTCCAAATCTACCAAATATCTTGAAGGATAAAGCCTAAGTTTTCTGGGTGAAACCCCCTACAATTCTCAATCAAATATTCTCGGTTACACAAAAATCTAATTGAACGTTATCAAACCTCGCCAAGATGGCACTCCGACAAAAGATAATTATGTGTGACAGAACATTACTATATATGAACTTTTGCATTCTTTGTAAAAGATCTACCACTTCATATTAATTTTAAAAAAAAAATACTTTAGCTATCTATGATAAATCGATCTACCAAAAACTTTGTTAAAACATATACTTAGACTCGCAACAAATCAAATTGTTAAATAAATAGAAAGAAACGAGTTATTAAAAAATGAAAAATAATATTTTAACACTCAAATTTAAGTCTTAAAAAGCTATTAAGTGTAATTTTAAATGTAATAATATATTATTGAAATTCGTATAAATCTATGAAATAAAAAAAATATGAAAGCGGTAAAAATATTAATATACGATTGATATATTCATTTTTTGAAAGTAATAATATATTATTTTAAATACAATATCAAATATTGAATATTCAATAATATATTATTTGTTTCTCAAGAAATAATATATTAATATAATATATACAATTTTAACAATATCAAATATGGGAGTGCTTTTGCTAAGTAACACGTGAGTTGTCTTATTTGTTTGTTTCTCAAGAAATGCCCCAAGCACCAAATTCATGAGAATTTTCTTCTTTTTTTTAAGTGCAATTGGCCAACTACTCACTTAAATTTCGAAGTCTACTTTACTTTTATTCAAAAAATGCCAATAAAAGTCATTGAGTTTTAGCAATTGGAAGAAAAACCTAACCACCTTGTAATTAGTTATGATTATTAAACTCTTTTTTTCTTTCTTAAGTTTCAAATTATTAAAATTTATGTGTTAAACAATGTTTATAATTATTGTTATTATTTATAGGTTTATATAATATTTCAAAATAATAATAATAATGATAATAATAATAATAATAACAACAATAAGAATGACGATAATAATAATAATAATAATAATAATAATAATAATAATAATAATAATAATAATAATAATAATAATAATAATAATAATAATAATAATAATAATAATAATAATAATAATAATAATAAATAATAATAATAATAATAATAATAATAATAATAATAATAATAATAATAATAATAATAATAATAATAATAATAATAATAATAATAATAATAATAATAATAATAATAGATGGATAGAGTAGTTCATTTAATATGTATTATGTGAGTTAGATAAATATAAATTGTTAATAATAATACTAAATGTTTTTAAAAATATAAATATAATACTAATAATGGACTATTAAAAAATTAAGTACGAAAAAAAACACATATTTTAATGTTTAAATTATAATAGCAGTGTGGGAATCTTAAAATACCATTAATTACATTATTCCTTAATTGGATTGCATATAATGTCTTTTTTAAATATAGTTTTGGGATGGGGTGTCTTATTTGTTATATAGCTGTTTGGCAAACCCATGAATATTCGAATAAACTTTTGTATGTATATTAGGAAGCATCAGTGTGTGGAGCATCATTTCCAACTTTTGGGATGGCGTAATCTTCTGATTTTATTACTATTAATTTGCACTACCACTAGATTTTATTACTATAATTACAAGTTGCTTTATGCTTGATATGTTTAGTGGGTGTGCTAAGGGTAGTAATATTTTAGATCAATTAATAGGCTCAAGTTAGATTACGTTTTTTTTTTTAAATAAAAATCTTTAGACTTTTTTATAAGTGTATTTAGTTAAAGAAAAGTAGGTTTTAGAATTTAAAAAAAGTTTTTTTTTTAAGTCTATCAAACTGATTTATTTTAATAAACATAGATAATTTTTCTTAATTAATAATATATTATACTTTGAATTAAATTACAAAATTAAAATTAAATTTTTCTTAAAAACTAATGAAAATATGTTAAAAACTTTTTTATGGTCAATATGCTATGAGTTGATTTTATAAAAAAAATTAAATAAATAGTCTCATATAACTTGGGCTATTAAATCAACTCAGATAATTCAAAATAAACAAATTTTATTATTAGTGATCTTTTAGTTTTTTATTTATATAAATATTAATTGAATTGTTAATTTATATATGTTTAAATGAAATAGACTTTAAGTAGGTTATAAACCTAAAAATAAGTTTATGATAAGTTATAAGTCAGATTTAGACTTAAAAAAATTTAGTAAGTCAGATTTAAATTTAGCAAAAGTCTAACTCAGCTTAACATATTTCTACTACTAGATGTGCTAATTATTGTATTGCATAAATATACATAATTAAAATGATTATTATTTTACAATTATTTTTAACTTATAAGTTAGTTGATAATTTATAGATAATAATTAATTATTCTGGATTGACTATATTAATTTTGACAAATCATTCTGATAAAGATATAATTCTTCTAAAATCTTTTCAACGCATGAGAAGTATCCTACTGATGATCGGTGACAACACACGAGAACTACATTGAGTATTTAAATTACAGGTGTATCTAACGACTCTCTATATTACATTTGACCAATAACAAATTTGTTATTCTCTCTACTATATAGAGAAGATGCCAATTTAAATATACAGTTTCAAATTCAATATCAAATTACTCTTCTCTTTCACGCATTCACTTAAGTGTTGAAATACTAATTTTACTTCTCTTCATTTCTAATTTCAGTATGTAACGGTAGCTATTAATTGGTGATGGGTATATAAATTAATTCAACTGTTTGACTAGAATTCTAATAGATGATAAATTACATAAAAATATATTTTGAATAATATCTTAGTAATTATATTATCTTTTTTATATTATTATTAAACTATTTTTAATTTAAAATTAAATATAACAGTAAAACCGTGTAAAAATTATTAAACATATATTATTACCATGCGAAAAAAACTCTTAATAATTGTTTGCAAGGTGAATTTCAAATATTAGAAAACAACTTGTAAAGATTTTCAAAGGTTCATAAGGTGGGGTATACTCTAGTTTATAGTGCATATGTAGAATGGATCCAAACACATCACCTAACCTATGGAATATATAGATACATACTATATTCGCATACACTTATTAAACATTTTTATCACCTCCTCAATTTATCACACCTTTCACATAATTTTCTTTATTTTTTCTCTCAATCAAAAAGTAAAAAGAGAGGGTAAACAAATAATCATAGAAACCAACAACCAAGCCATCAAATCCATGTTTATAAAAAATACGTACTTACATCACAATAATAAACAACGATCCATTTCAAGATAGAAGAAAGATTAAGAAACCTAAGAAACCACGTGGTTCGCAAATCCTATCTCAAATGACAAAAATTAATATTATTAGATTAGACGTTATCATTAAAATTCAAACTTTTATATTTATAGTTATGTATAAGTTTTTAGTTGTTATTACTTGTTCATCAGCACAACAAAAAAAATCAGAACTCGTGCATAATCAGTATGACCAATTACTCTTTGCAGTTGGGAAACAACTCATTGAAGCACTATAACGATTACTTAACAACCCAATGGCCCCTCTCACACCTCTTCATGTCTTCTATCAATGGAGCAACATTTCAATACTGTTTCCCCACACTATCATTTCAAAATTTATACATTATCATTTCATCATACTTGTACATTTTTTTCAACACCACATGTGCCAACCCATACTCCTAATATTCCTTACAAGAAAATGGATCTAAATTATCATTTCTCATCAAATTAAGTATATAGTATATTATCTTTCAATATTTACCCATAAGTAATATTGTAACAATATTGTCAGTAACATATGGGACCAACCCATGTCAAACTCACATTTTTCTTCATCTTTAGTTCACAAAATGTGAATGGATGGAAAGGGTTTAACGTGAAATGTGGTGATTTGTTGACCAATTAATATCGAAACATGATCATGTGGGATGGCATTGAAAATTAGGCACAAAGAAATGGTTGTGGATTGCATGAGTGAGAATGCATGGGGGAATTTAAGATTGTAACTTATCATGGAAAGATGGGTCGGTGATACATTTTTGCATGTGGCCTTCTATCATAGCCCTTGTGTGCAAAGAGACATATAGCCTTGCCCACAACTTAGCTACCCACCTTGGGACAAATTCTTGCAGTGTTTGTTGGGACCATCCTTTTTCAAAAGTTTATTAGTTTAACCATCACTTTCCAACTAACCAAAATTGTTCTATAATACAATAGTTTATAAACATAGTTAATACAACTCAGTTAAAAATATAGAGATATCTCATCGTAAAACGTGGATTCAATTGGAAAGAAAGTGTGGACTATTTGATCCAAAAATAATAGATAAATAAAAGTTTTCTCTTAATACAACTCAGTTAAAAATTATACAGATATCTGATTGTAAAAATGTGTATTAGACTAGAATGATAGTATGAACTACTTGACCCAAAAATAATAGATAAATAAAATTTTATGTTAATACAACTTAGTTAAAAAATTGTAGAGATATCTGATTGTAAAAACATGTATTCGACTGAAATGAAAGTATGGAATATTTGACCCAAAAATAATAGATAAATAGAAATTTCCCATGGTGATCTCTTTTAATTTCTTTAATTTCCTTTTTATTTATGAGACCAAACAAATTAAGCTTGGAATAGTTAAACAGAGACGAGAGTCACAAGTTACTTATGCAGTTCTGTGCCTTGCCAAAAGTTTTTCTCAAATGTAATTTATGTCATGACATAGTAAAATAAATTATTGAGCAAAGCAAACAATGGCATCTTCTCTTCTGTGTCAGTTAGGTACATTATTGCAGACAAAAGAAAGATCCTTTTTGAATAATTTCTACAAACTTAAGGAGCCACAAATATTATGACAAAATTCACATCCATCTAAAAATCTCACATTTGCGAGTGGACACATAATAAAGTGTGGGGTAAATTAAGACCATGATTCTCTGCAGTCACATATGACTACATGATCCTGCAATATAATAGTAGATTGAGTGATATGAATTGTCGTGATCAAAATCAACAATTAAGATTGTCAACTATGAAAATGTGTGACGCATCAAAATTTTAAAGGGGGGGTGTGAATTCTAAAGAGGCATTGAACTTTGAAATTTAAAAGGTGAATGGTGATTTTAAGGAGATATTAAAAAGAAAAGGTTAGAAAAGAAAAAGGGCCTATCAGAAGTGTAGATGAAATATGATAATTAGTGGGGCAAGAGGAGACAGATTTCAAATGATGCATATACTGTCTTCATCTCTTTGAAACTCTTTCTACCGTTTTGATTTCCACATGGTGTCAGTAATCTTTCTCACCTGAACCTCTCTGCCCAGTTTCTTGGGTTTGTATAACAGTGTGATATATTTGGATACATGGCAAAATTAGAAAGACAAGTAAAGTCCTGCAGCTTCTGCATCCAATATCCAATTTGGATGAGTGGTCCTGTCCTCTATTATAGCTTTTTCAAATGAGTAGCATCACTCCAAAAATCTGTTTAATGTTTCCACACCCAAATGCACACAATCCCCCAAAATAAAAAATCGTACAAAAACAAAGAAAAAACCTCACATGATGGTTGCATGTCTTTCTATGACACCAATCAAAATACACAATTCAAATGTTGACTATTACCTCACCATCATGATCCATCTTCATCATACATCATTCATGTAGCATGCATGTACAAGATTTCACTGCTTATCTTTGTTTTTTGGATTAATTAAAAGAGATACTATAGAGTGCATGTGGTTTGAAAATTGAAACCAACACAAAGACCCAAATAGGTGCTTGTACGAATGAACTTGACAGCCACCAAATTATGAGTATTGAATTGATTGAACCAAAGGCAGTACCACAATCTATATTTGGTTAATATACGGAGGGCTCACCTTGTTATAACAAAGCCCGTTTTCTAAGAACTGAGGTTTCAGGGTTTCCTTTTTCATGCAATGTCTACTCTTCAACACCTTTTATGCTGACAAGGATGTACACACTAGACAGTACTACATCTGTTCTACATAATCATAAAATTCAATACCTATTGTTTGACCAACTGCAACTACAATAGCATATGAGTTCAAATCCAACAACAGCAACCAAACCCTTATTCCACAAAATGGGATCAGGTCGACTATATAGAACAACTTTCGTCATCCATGACTATGTATGAGTTCAAATACTAAAGAGAAAAAACTGAAAACAACAGCTATCAAAATCTGAAAAGTGAATGAATATAATAAGTGTTCTCTGTTAAAAATTAAAAGCAAATGGGAAGGGTAAATACACAAGTAAATAGTACAATAATAATTCATTCATTTTACCCCTAAAAAAAGCACTCAAATGACTGCATTTGTCATTTATTTTTCAAGGCATTTAACATTATTCAACATCAAGGACTATGTATGAATCATTGCTCCTACAAGAAACCGTTCAAAAAGTTATTAGTATTATTATTTTGCAGAGAGGAAGTTTCTCATTACTGAGGAAACAATAATGCAGGAAAAAATATCAAAAGCAAGAAAGTATGTCCCACAAAATGCAAATTTCTAACCACTTTAAATCTCGAACATTAACTTAGTATTCATGTTCACTAAGCAAAATACAGTGCTTGATGTACGTCGTAGGCCCCTCGAGTTATAGTGGATTCCAACACTGACCTGTTTCAGTACTGTCTACGAAAATGATTTTCCTTAAAATCTACTGAGGTAATAAACATAAAAAATTTAATGTAAGATAGATGCAATTATTTTAGCAGCAAAGCAAGAAAAAACAGACATGAAAAGAGAGAAAATTTCTGTGGACTAATATGAACGAAGATGAATGCCTCCACCAAATTGATACTGTGTGCTTAAAATTCTCTTGGGAGTTAATGGTATGAGCCCCCACATGTCAAGTCAATAAAACAGAAAATGACTAGTTCCACTCGTCCTTTGGTGTGTTCCACATGCAAATAATATCAAACTCCTAACTGTGGTAATGATGCTGCCAGCACAACATAACAACCACCGTCTGCGCTAATGTAGTAAGTTTATGAATATTTTTTCCAAATTTGAGAGGAAAGCAAAGAGGGATCAATCAGTCTATCAAATCAAAACCAATTTATCTGATAAAAAGCATTGCTCACATTCACAGTAGGAGGCACATGCAAAAGAAGCAACTGACCTAACAACTTTCTGTCCTTCAATTGTTGATGGGTCTAAGTTTTAGTTTATGGTTGGCACCAGACACATCACACAAATTTTTAAAAAGGGTCCCTTGAAGTTAACCCTTCTGTAATCAAATCTAATAGACTACATGATAATTATTATTAACACAGATGCTAAATCTTATCCTCCTGAACTTGTGAAGTGGGAATTGGAGGTAGACCAGACAAAACTTAACACCAAAATCACATAAATCAGCTCCAGATTCCTAAGACTATACAGAAAAAACTGTTTTGGTGTCAGTACCTCTGCAAGAAAAAATAGAAATCTGACAGAAGCAGAAAATTTGAGCACTAGACAAGGGAATCAATGCATGCCACATATCCTTTAGTTTGTATGGAACATAAGACAAAAAAATGTTGCAAATAAATTAAAAACAGAGCTTCTTTACCGTGGATTATATATCACATGTCTACATTTATTATTTACAAGCATATAGGGGAGAGTATAGTGAAAGAAAAAAGTCAAATTGCAAGGAATAAATTAGAAACAACAATGAAGCTAGGGAGCCATTTTAGCTAATGAATGGGGAAAGAATTGAGACCAAGTAGTATTTGCTGGATGTTGGTCATATAGGTGGTTACAAATTACTTGTGAGAATGGGGACCGCAGTGTCCTAAAACATTCATGTCTTCATTATCAATTGGATCCCGATTAGAAAAATTTGATCCCCTCAAAAAGCATAAGTTCAATGCGCTCCATGAGAACCTAAGACACAAAAGGAAATAAGCAACAGCCATCAGATTCTGCATCATTAATATTATCTGTCTAATGGACAATCAGCCATACAAGTTACACTGAGTCAAATGCTTCCACTTACGTGGTTGTGTTTGCAGAGCACCAAACCACATTTGTTATGGTTCAAAATGTGAATTAGTGATATTTGAAAATGTTTGAAACTTCAATTCTAAAACACAATTCTTAAACACAATTTGAGATTGAAATACGTCTTTGAAATAAGAAACTCTATTTAACTTTCAGATTCAAGTGGATGAAATCCAAATAGAAATCACTACACCTTTAATCTGTTTTAACCAAAGTAATTCTATAAATCAAGTCCATTAGTTTACATTCAATCATCTTTGTATGTACTAACATTTTAAGACTCACAAGAGAGAGAAAGAGATAGCAAATGGTTACAAGTACAGACAAAACTCTGATAGAGAAAAGGAAAAGGTGATCTTTATGGTTGTCACTGTTAAGCCTATTTCATAGGCAACTGTTCTAAGAAGCCAATCTGAAAAAATAAAGATAAAGAAAAGAAAAAGATGCACTACAAGAATCCAGTCAACAAACTTTACCAAGAACCTAATACACAGCCTCAGGCTTTAACAAACATGAACCATCTTAACCAATGCCATCTGCCAAAAACCACATGTGCACGACCAAAAGGCTGTCACCAAGAATACCACTCAGCAATTCAAAAATAAATTTCATAAAAACTTCCTTTTTCTCCCCCACTCTTCTGTGACAGATGAACACTTATCATGCCTTATAATGCTTCATTAGGATTCTCTCTCCCACTTAGTGTTTAACACTCTGTCTTGATATACTCTATCTCTCATTTAAGCAACCTCATAATTGGAGAAGGGCCACACTACACTTGACATGGGCAATAATGATATAGTCCTTTTACCCTATGTTTTCTTTCCAATTTTCCCAAACTAAGTCATCCCACTAACGAGGAGTCTGAAAAAAAGAAGTTAAAATGGATTGAAATGTAAAGATGAGAACAATTAAATTTCTAGATTATAAACAGTAAATTTAAGAACATACGACAATTGAAATTGAAATTGAAATTGGTTTACTATAACAAGGAGCGGGAGAAAAAACTATTTACAACAACAATCAAGCCTTATCCTACTAAGTGGGACTGGCTACATGGATCAAATTACGTCATAATATTCTATCAAAGATCATGTTTCTATTCAATTCGTTAATCTCGAGATCTTTCTTAATAGTTTCTCTTATTGTTTTTTTAGGTCTTCCTCTACCTCTATTTGTTTTACTCTTTTCCATATGATCTATTCTCCTTACAACAAAACCTAGAGGAGTTTTTACATTCCCAAACTACTTAAGCCTATTTTCCAACACTCTAATATTGTCATTAATAATCTTATCTTGTCTAGTCTTGCCACAAATCCATCACAACATCATCATCTATGCTACACTTATTTTATTCTCGTGTTGGTTCTTAACCGCCCAACATTTTCTCTCATTCAACATCGCAGGTCTTATCGCTGCTCAATAAAAAATTTCCTTAAGTTTTGAGCAGTACTTTTGTGTAACATAAAATCTCTAAGGCCCTCTTCCATTTCAACCACCCAGCTTGAATTTGATGGTTTACATCTTCTATTTCTCCATTATTTTTTATTTTAGACCATAGATATTTAAACTGTGTGAATCGTGGCATTATATGGTCTTCAACTTTCAGCTCTTGGTTAGAAACGCTTCTCTTTTTGCTAAACTTACATTTCAAGTATTCCGTCTTACTTGTGCTCAAGCGACAACCATATGTTTCTAAGATTCGTCTCCAACCTCTCAGTTATATCCTCATCCACCTCTTCAAGTAAGACTATATCATCTACAAAAAAACATACATCTCGATGGTAGGTCTTGGATGTGTTTCATGAGCACATCCAAAATTAAAGTAAAAATATAAGGGCTTAGGGTTAAACCTTGGTGCAATCCTATTGTTATGGAAAAATCGTCTGTCCCTCCGCCCCGTGTCTGCACACCAGTCGATACCTCATCATATACATCTTGAATACCTCGAATATAGACAATCCTAACCTCTTTCTCCTCTAGGGTTTCCCGCAAAATCTCTCTAGACACTCTATCACACGCCTTCTCTAAGTCAATGAAAATTAAGTGAAAGTCTTGTTGATCCATTTGATACTGCTCCATCACATGTCGTAGTAAATAGATTGCTTCCCTGGTTAACCTCCTAAGCATAAAACCAAATTGATTATCAATAACTTGAGTGTCTTTTTTTAGTGTGAGTTCAATCGCTCTTTACCATAACTTCATGGTAAAACTCATAAGTTTAATGCCCTTGTAATTTGCACATTTTTGTATATTCATCTGGTTCTTATAGATTAGAACTAAAGTGTTTCTTCTCCATTCATCTAACATTTGCTTTGACCTCATAATTTTGTTAAAAGTTCGATGAGTCACTCAATGCTTCTATCTCTAAGAAATTTTCACACTCCAATAGGTATGTTGTCGGACTCAACTGGCTTCCTATTACTCATCATTTTCAATGCTTTATTTACCTCGTGTTTTTGAATCCGACAAAAGTAATTATAGTTTTGATCTTCTTTAATGTCGAGTCTATCAGAGTCTGGTGAGATATCATATCCTTCATTAAATAAATTATTGAAACACTTTTTCCACATATCCTTTATATTATTTTCTTGAACCAAATTTTTTCATTCTTCATCTTTAACACACTTCACTTAATTCAAATCTCGTGTTTCTTTCTCTTGTCTTAACAAGCCTATATATAGATTTTCTCCCTCCTTGGTCCCTAAAAATTGGTGTAATCCATCAAAAGCTTGAGTTCTTTCTTCACTCATCGCCTTTTTTTCTCCTTCATATCTTTCTTAGACTTTTCCCATAATCCATTCTTTTAAAACATTCTTTTTTTTTACTATGACTTTACTCTGAATATTTTCGTTCCACTACCACGATTCTTTATCCATAGGTACAAAATCTCTAAATTCTCCCAACGTCTCTATAGCTACTTTTCTAATCACTTATGTCATCTTGTTCCACATATCATTTATCCTTCCATGTGGTTGTCGAAACCCCCTTCAAGATCTTGTGTTAAAACTCTTTTATTTTTCATTCTTCAATTATCACCATTTGATTCGTAGAACTCCCATTTGGTTTCTTCTCTTTACTCTCCTCTTGACTTTGACATCCATAATCAATACTCTATGTTAGATAGTCAAGTTCTCTTCAAGTATAACTTTACGGTCCAAGAAAATTTCCTATTCGAGTTCCTATTAAAAAAGAAATATATAAGAGAATATGTCACCTCACTCTTATATGTGATAAGTGTTGAATATGGATATGGAATTAATTTCAAATTATCTACTGATTTGCATCCTTTATGACATAATTCTTTCCTTTTATATTTATAGGAATTAATGGTAGGAGTGATTAAAAAAAATAATAATAATGGTAGGAGGCTTAGTCTGTCTCCTTCCTATTGTTTATATATACATCTTATGTGAAGTTATTAGAGAGATTATTACGGAATCAACAAATTTTTCTTTGTATAGCTCATGACACTCATTGTAAATAATAATTAGTTGTTTCCTTCTGTCTTTATCATATTTAGAATTAGCATTTATATAGAGAATAATTATCCTGATTCTCAAGCTAGATTAGTGTTTATTGGTTTATCTCTTGTATTCTGTAAATATCTTTCATGTATTATTTACTAAATTATCGAAGAAATACAGATTGTTTATTTCATTATAGTATCAGTTGCAGGAAGAATTTCTTAGGGTTTTTTTCCTTCTATTTTTCTTTTTTTTCCATCTCACATAATGTTTGATCACTAGTTTGATACCAAGTCCCAGCATTCACCTAAATATTCTTCACCTAAACCTAAAACACCTCAACCTATCAGGACATACCATGAAAACCACCCTTTGTTTAGATCACAACAATTTGGCTGAACGATCCTCTTAGAATGTTTGATTGGGCCTAATTCGACCCTACAAAACCGGCTTAAAAACCGGCTTGTAAGGTGAGGATTACTCCCGCTTATAAACTCATGTTCAGACCATATATTATCCGATGTGGGACTCTTAACAGATCCTAATTATTTTCACTGGTCACAGTCTGTCTGTTAGTATGGGAAGAGGAAAAATTGGCTACATCAATAGAGACAAGAAACTACCAGACAAAGAAGGCGCAGACTATGACAGTTGGGATGCTGAAAATCCATGATCATGACATGGTTAGTCAATTCCATGACTGAAGAGATAGGTGCAAACTATCTCTGTTATGCTACTACAAAAGATCTTTGGGAAAGTGTCTCTCAGATGTACTATGATTTGGACAACCAATCCCAAATTTATGAATTAACTCTCCAACATGGAGAAATTCGGCAAGCTGAAGATTTTGTCACCAAATACTTCAATTGTCTCAAGCGTATTTGGCAAGATTTGAATTTGTTCAATGTATATGAGTGGAAGTCGCCTAAGAACTACAAGCACTACAAGAAGATGGTGGATGTTAGTCGTGTCTTCAAGTTTCTTGCAAGTCTAAATATTGAGTTTGATGAGGTTTATGGCCAAATTCTTGGCAGGAATCTTATCCCTCAAATTGGTGAAGTATAAGTTGAAGTTTGTCGCGAAGAGAGCCATAGGCAAGTGATGCTTGGAGAAAAAGCAAACACTGTCCCTCCACCAGTCGAAGGATCTGTCTTAGTTGTCCCTCATGTCAATCACAAATTTTTACCTAATCCACGAGCCGGTGACGAGAACCATTTAGTTTGCGACTATTGTGGTCAAAATCGTCACACTCGACAGAATTGTTTCAAACTACATGGTAGGCCAAACAATAGAAAGACTGGTAGGTTTGGTGACCGCCCTACGTCTACAACCAAGGAGGCTAACTCGTCTTTATTTACTAGAGAGAAGATTGATCATCTTTTTAAACTTCTAAAGTTCAATTCATCACCTAATGTTCCGATTGGAACTATGGCACAAACAGGTAAGAATTTTTGGGCACTATATGTCCAAAACCACTTCAACCCTTGAATAATAGATTCAGGGACATCTGAACATAAGACCAATTGCTCTTTATTTATTTAGTTCCTATTTCTCTAGTT